TCTTGTAGGACACTCTTGTGGGACACTCTTGTGGGACACTCTTGTAGAACACTCTTGTGGGTCACTTGCAGGACACTCTTGTGGGACACTCTTACACGACACTCTTGTAGGACACTCTTGTGGGACATTCTTGTAGGACACTCTTGTAGGACACTCTTGTCGGAAACTCTTGTGGGACACTCTTGTGGGACACTCTTGTGGGACACTCTTATAGGACACTCTTGTGGGACACTCTTGTGGGACACTCTTGTAGGACACTCCTGTACGACACTCTTGTAGGACACTCTTGTGGGACACTCTGCGGGACACTCTTGTGGGACACTCTGTGGGACACTCTTCTAGGACACTCTTGTGGGACACTCTTGTAGGACACTCTTGTGGGATACTCCTGTAGGACACTCTTGTGGGACACTCTTATAGGACACTCTTGTGGGACACTCTTGTGGGACGCTCTTGTAGGACACTCTTGTGGGACACTCTTGTGGGACACTCTTGTGGGACACACTTGTGGGACACTCTTGTGAGCCACTTTTGTGGGACACTCTTGTGGGTCACTTGCAGGACACTCTTGTGAGACACTCTTAGGAAACTCTTGTGGGACACTCTTCTAGGACACTCTTGTGGGACACTCTTGTAGGACACTCTTGTGAGACACTCTTGTAGAACACTTGTGTGGGTCACTTGCAGGACACTCTTGTGGGACACTCTTACACGACACTCTTGTAGGACACTCTTGTGCGACACTCTTACACGACACTCTTGTAGGAAACTCTTGTGGGACACTCTTGTGGGACACTCTTGTGGGACACTCTTATAGGACACTCTTGTGGGACACTCTTGTGGCACACTCTTGTAGGACACTCTTGTAGGACACTCGTGTGGGTCACTCTTGCAGGAAACTCTTGTGGGACACTCTTGTAGGACACTCTTGTGGGACACTCTGTGGGACACTCTTGTGGGACACTCTTGTGGGACACTCTTAGGAAACTCTTGTGGGACACTCTTCTAGGACACTCTTGTGGGACACTCTTGTGGGACACTCTTGTAGGACACTCTTGTGGGATACTCGTGTAGAACACTCTTAAGGGACACTCTTGTGAGACACTCTTGAGCGACACTATTGCGGGACACTCTTGTGGGACACTCTTGTGGCACACTCTTGTGGGACACTCTTGTAGAACACTCTTGTGGGACAGTCTTGTAGGACACTCTTGTGGGACACTCTTGTGGGACACTCTTGTGGGACACTCTTGTGGGACACTCTTGTAGGACACTCTTGTAGGACACTCTTGTGGGACACTCTTGTGGGACACTCTTGTGGGACACTCTTGTGTGACACTCTTGTAGGAAACTCTTGTGGGACACTCTTGTGGGACACTCTTGTGGGACACTCTTATAGGACACTCTTGTAGGACACTCTTGTGGGTCACTCTTGTAGGAGACTCTTGTGGGACACTCTTGTGGGACACTCTGTGGGACACTCTTGTGGGACTCCTTGTGGGACACTCTTGTAGGATACTCTTGTGGGACAGTCTTGTAGGACACTCTTGTGGGAAACTCTTGTGGGACACTCTTGTAGGACACTCTTGTGGGATACTCCTGTAGGACACTCTTAAGGGACACTCTTGTGAGACACTCTAGTGGGACACTGTTGCGGGACACTCTTGTGGACTCTCTTCCAGCTCCCCAGATACTCCGCGTACTAAATGTACTACAAGGTCGCCAGTTCTCAGCTTCCAGCTCCACAGATTGCTCCGCGTACTCAAGTTGTACTACAAAGTCGCCAGTTCTCAGCTTCCAGCTCCACAGATTGCTCCGCGTACTAAAGTTGTACTACCAAGTCACCAGTTCTCATCTTCCAGCTCCCCAGATACCCCGCGTACTAAAGTTGCACTACAAAGTCGCCAGTGCTCGCCTGCATTTCGCGCGCTCGACACGCACGGTCTCCGCAGAGGGTTGCGCGGGCACCGGACAAATCGCACTCTCGCCTGCATTTCGCGCACTCGACACGCACGATCTCCGCAGAGGGTTGCGCGCGCATGGGACAAATCGCGCTCTCGCCTGCATTTCGCGCACTCGACACGCACGATCTCCGCAGGGGGTTGCGCGCGCATGGGACAAATCGCACTCTCGCCTGCATTTCGCACACTCGACACGCACGATCTCTGCAGAGGGTTGCGCGTCAAGTCTCCAAAACGAGCGTTTCGTACTTGCAAAAGCTTCCCCCAATGGCAGCAAATTTGAGACGCGACGACGACGAGAGACGACGAGAGACGACGACAAACGACGACACGACGCAAGCCATGCAAACACAGCTCCAACCCCCAGACCCCCAACTATAAACGGGAACCCTTCGCTACGCATTCGGGAAAAAAACACATACACATACACACAACAACAACAACAACAACAACAACAACAACAACAACCAAAAAGGCACCGGGTAAACAGCCTGCCACCCACCCGTCAGCATTCTCACGTCGCGTTTTCCACGCCACGCGATGAGGGGCTGGTCTTGTTCCAAGGGGCAGCACACTCTGCCGCTGATCGGACCGGAAACTTCGTCCAGTTCTCGGCAGCCTCCAATGCCCTGCAGACGGAGTACGCGGCAAGGGGGGCTGAGTGCAGCCTGCGGCTGGTGAGCTAGGCTTCAAGTGGTGAAAAACCTGGGAACCTGGGCAGTGTGGCCTTGAACCCTTACTTGAACCTTCCTCTGACCCTGACTCTGATTGTTTCATAGTCAGAAAGAACAAACATGTCGACATCTTACACAAGCCTCCAGCCTTGAAGCCAGGCAAATCTCAAGTTACAAGATAGTTACAAGAAGAACAGGAAAGCTGCAGCCCTTAGATCCCCGTGTGATATCTCGAAGAGAACTTGGCCCCCCAATCGCAATCAATCACATGGGTCGCAATGAAAATCAACTCATCATGCGGGCTCTTGGACCCTCAGCCCTCAGCACCCGGGCCTCTTGTTGACGATCATACCTCAGCTGCGGGCTCTGTGCTTCTCCAGATCTCTAACGCCCGACTTCCACATCCGTGCGGTTCCAGGCTGAGGTGTTAAATGATGTTCAATGCCTGTACTGCAAACGGTTGGCGAGTACTGCACTATCTAGGTGTCAATGCACCCAAGCAGTTCAAATGAAGAACAAGCTTGTTGATACCTGTACTGCAGGTGCCTTGTAGTTGTTGGAGGCGTGGAGGCATGTTAACCGTCTTGTACCATCCGCTAACTGGGGTGGATCATCACTCTCACTCCGCTCTCAGTGGTGGAGTTGCCTCACTGATCCAAGCAAAATCCACTGAAATCCTGCAACCAAGGGCTTCTAAGGGTATCTCATGTTCGAAGCGAAGATCCACCACTTTGACATGGCAGACCTTTCGCTCCTCACGTTGGAGAATAACAATTCCAAGTTGTATATTCCATATGATTGAGGTAGACTCTTGATCTTGATGAACAAAAACCGCCTGAAGAGGTTGTTCAATATCAACGGGCTTATGAATCAAGAGTCTACATTGACATGACTAGTGAATATACTGGGACACAACAAGACTGGTCAAATCCATTGGACCATCGATCTCTTTGAGATCTTCACCCCAGGTGGTCGCCCACCACAACCAACCACCGCTCACGCGGAACAGTTCCGTCGCCGCGTTCAGTTCTTCTGCCCCCGTCGACCGACCTTGCCCGGCTGGAGGTCCCGGCCCAGGTCTTTCAAGACGCCGGTGTTCACAGAACATCTGCCCATAATGACCTCAGTCATCCAGAAACGTCACCCAGACCACCGAAAAGGTGTGGGACATCCACCGTGTGGGGCATTCTTCTGGATTGCTGAGGAGCTGTTTTGGAGCATCTGTCCATTCAAAAAAAAAGAAACACGCTTTGCAACCAAACCATGAATCAAACACTGCCCCAGTTTTGGGGAAAGTTTTTGGGGCTGGAAGGTTTGTTTAAAGGGAGCGACGAGATAAAACAGTGAGCACGGACTGCATTCCCAGTGTTCCAAACTTTTCTGAGGTCTGACCGATAAAGGTGCAGTACAGTGGTTTCAGAGGACTGACTGAGCACGTTTCCACCACCAAACTTGGGGTAGCTTGCCTTGTGCTATCTACTCTCAATCCACCAATCCACTACAGTATATGTGATCGAACACATCTGGAAAATGGTTCTTCCCACGTGTCTTCGCGCGTTGGGGCGCATTTTTGTGAGGGACCACTTCTTGAAGTTGCCACTTCCGACTTGAAGAACTATACAGGCAGAACCATACAGGCAGACAGGCACCTACAATTAGACCTATTGTTTTGTTGCATTGTTTTTTCTTAAAACACCTACTGTCCTGCAGCTGTTGGGAGGTCCAACATGGCTCAACTAGCGACGAGGTCCAGGCAGGGAGACTGGGTGTTTCCATCACGTCAGTAGGTTGGAGGCCATCTACTAGGGTGGAGGCCATCTACCTAGGTAGGTTCTCTTTCTCCACAGCTCTCCTGCACCGCGCGCTGTCCTTCTTTCCCACGCGTGTTTCGTGCGGAGGGCCTTAAAATGACATCTTGAGACCCTGGCCCAAAGAAGGCTGTTGATGATCACAGACAGCGCGGCACTATTTACAGCTTGATGCCCTTGTGCATAGACACACACCTGAGAGAAAGAACACGACTGGCAGAGGAAGAGTCGGGCTTAGATCAGCAGAAGGTTTCAAGTGCTCAGATGTAACGTCTTCCTCCTCAATCAAAAAATATATGTCTTAAATCGTCTTAAATGAATGTCTGAGGGGGACCGTATAGACCATATGTATTTATATTTATATACTTATACAACATATGCCAAACCGACGCGCTGTTCAAATCCGTCTTCCGATCTGAGTGGAGTCCGGTCTATGTGGTCTTTCCGAGTGACGGACATGCCTGTCCAGCCCGAGGTGAGTCACTCTCGGAAGCGAACATGGACTCTGAGAATGACACCGAAAAAGACATGTTTTTTCCTCTACAAACATCTACAAACCTAAGTGGTTTTCCGAGGTCCATGTGTTTCTCTTCAGCGGGGTGCGGTGTACACCTCACACCGAGCCCACCCTGCGGCCAAGGAGCAAAGACCATGAAACTCAAATAGCCCAGAATCACCGGACGGACACTGGTGTCCATCTGCTGTGAATCATCTGCCTCTCCCGCAGTGGGATTCTTCGTGGCTCGGCAGGGGTTTCTGAAGGGTCTTCCGTGGCGTGGCATGAGACACTGCATTCCATGGACACTCAGGTAGTTCGTTCATGCAAATGCATGGAATACACACAGCTTCGATGAACCACAATGGATAGGTGTGAATCAAGTATCCGACATGGCAAGAAAAAGACACCACCAAGCAAACAACGAGGAATAACCATGTGTTCCTCTCACCCTGAGGGTCACCACCTCTCCTTTCGAAAGGCCTTCCGTTTGACGCCAACGCAGCCCATGGGAAACAGAGCCCCTTAGCGCCGGTCCGCGTCCCTCGGTCCCGGCTTGAAACCCCAGCTGTTCCGTCTGTAGCACGTCTCCGCACGTCTTCGGAGTTTCCGCATGTTCTCCGCAACAAAAGTCGGACGCGTCCCTCGTTCTTCCCAACCAGGAACGTCCCGGCGCCTGGACCTCGAAGTTGATACCATGCGCAAAGACTTCCTGGAAAGCGAGTCGAGGGAAAGGGCGGGTGCGCGGTGCGCGTCCGTTGCGAACAGACCGAGACGGTTCGTGGAAGAGCTGCTTAGGGACGATCCGTCAGACGAGGAAGATCCTCACAACCTGACATGGAAAAAAGCATGCACATCTGAGGAACTTGGAACTGCAGGGTGGTTTCGGCTGCATCAGAGAGGACGTAGGTTTACTATCTAGGGTCTGACTGGAGTCCTCTGCACAGTACGCGTTACAGTATATGGGTTGGCGCGCGGTAGATGAAACCAAAAAACATAGCGTTCCAATAATTGTTTATTGTGGTCTTGAAATGTGCATACAAAACTTGTTCCTAAGAGATGTTTGATGATGTTTGTGTATGTCAACTCCCTTTTCAACAAACACTCAACGCCTCATCCATATCTATGCTCACAAAGAAGAAACAACATGAACAACCTTTGATGCAAGTTCCCTGAGTCTTTGTGCGGCTTGTTCTTCCCGGTGTTTCAGTTTCCGGATGTTTCTCTGCTTCCTTCCAATTCCATCCATGCTTGGACCGACCTGAACAAGCCCCCAAGCACCAAATCGATCCGGCGATCCCGATCCAGAACCCCCCATTGAACGTCGAGCTTCGCTTGCGATGACAATGGACATCCCCGAGAGGAACCCCGTCTGGAGTGCAAAGAGTGCATCACCTGAGCAGCGTGGCTAAAAGGGCGTGCAGTGGCGGTGAGCGTCCTAAAAAACATCTGCGGGAGGTTTGGAGGCAAAGCTTTTTGCTGTCAAATCATCATGAAAGTGGATGGCACCACCTATTTGGTTTTGGTAGTTGAACAATTAATTAACATTCTCGTCCAAGTGCGCCATCCACTACCATGAATGCAGTGTCTCCTTTCTTTGTTCCCATACTTTGTGGCCTTCATCAAGCATCGCTTGCAGTTGCTGGTCTACAGCAGTGAGTGCAGGTGAAATACTGTATCTGGAACTGAACATGTTCCCTGGAAAAAGGATTAACCAATATAAACCAATGCATCTTCTGCATGGTAGAAATATGATATAAAATGATGAAATGTATCAGGCCACACCCACTGATATCCATGAAAAACAGCTTTGCCTTTCAAACCACCACCTTGACCATACCTCCACTGGCCGGACCGCTCCTGCGGTGAACCCCTCTGATCTCCCTCCCACTCGTTCCGGTGATCCGTTCCACTCGTTCCGGGCGTCCGGGCCATGGAGCTCGTAAACGCCCCAAACGACGGCGGTGAAGAAGGTCGATTCCTCAGTCGACCGCCGGAACCGCCGCAGCTCAGCCGCAGCTCGAAGCGGCTGTGCCGTGTCGCGAGTCGCGAATCGCGGTGGGTTTTGGGGGAGGCCGAACACGGTGTGGTCGAAACAGATCGGCTGTGTGGGGTCACCAGGTCCCCCACAAAACCCGAAAAAACAGGGGGAGATCCAGATGATAAGGGCCGTTTTGCGGGCGCTGACCGGCTGCCAAACACTGGATTCAAAGCAACTGGGTTGATTTTGGGCACTTAGCGAAACTGGGAAGATAGATTAGGGGAAGATTTACCCATAAAATAGGCAGGGAGTTTACATATATATATATATTACTATTCTATCTATAGAATCTATACTACGAGTACATATTCAAATTCGAACCTGCTGAGACCCACCAGGGGCGCCACAGTACTCACTCGAATCGCTCACGCCCCCGCCCAGGTCGCACGTTCTATTTGGCCCATCTGAGTTCCGGCACCAGGGCGGACCGCGCAGGGTTCTGTCTCCAATTCTCTGGCGTGTTCAGGATCCGGGCCTCCGCCGCCGCTGCGTTCCGGCCGTTGTCACGCGACGCTTTGGACGCGGCGTTCTTCCGGGAGGTCTGGAAGCTCTCAACCTTGGCGTTCTGGAAAGCTCTTGGAAAGTCCCTGTTCAGTTGAGCCCTTTGACATCCTTTGACTTTCTTTCTCCAGGTTCTTCAAAGACGAAGTCGCAGAACCATCGCAAAAATACGATGAACGATGGCTGAAACGGCTGTTGCTTGTGACTGTTGCCGAGGCCCACTGGACCCGTAATGCAGCATCACACCCAGTGAAACGCAACCAACCCAACCATATAGACCGTTGTTCTGTTTGTTCATCCACAAAAAGCAGCCAGAAAAGGATCCAAAAGGCTAATGATGGCTAATGCGTTAATTTGTGTTTCCTATAATTGGAAGATCCTGTGCACATGTTACATCATGTTACTATATATCTGCACCAAACATTTTGTAGCTAGACTTTTTCGCTCTGTTGAGACGTTTACCACAGGCATTCGGTCGAATCCGCTTTCGGTCGATGCGCCGAAAGCGAAGAAGAAAAAGCGGTGGTCCATTCTGGTGGATTCGGTCGGAAGTCAACTCCCAAAACCCCAGACTGTAGATTCTTGATCTCTCTTGATTCATAAACCCTCCATTTGGGATTCTATATGAAGCCATAAAACGCCCCTTCATTTTTGGGTGGTTTATGGATTCGAGTCGAGTCGACTCATGACCTCTCTTCTCCGGCGCCTGCAAGATCGTTCCCAGGTGCCGGGTCGGCTTCCATGCCTGAGGGCCAGAGGAAGAGGTGCGGTGAGCGCCGCTGGGTCCACCGGTGCCGGCGGTAGAACACCGATGCCTTTTGTCCCGCTTTTTGGTGCAATCATTGAAGCGTCACAAGAGACGCACGCTTTCTGAGGCAGTGATTTCATTGGGTGTTTAGAGTTCCCGGTGCGGATGTGTGAGGATGAAACCTTGAAAAAACACAAACACCTCCCTCTGAAGTGGCAAAGCAGAAACTGAAAAGAGATCTGATTCTCACCTAGCCAATCTGGATGACACGTTGTTCTACATGATATGATCCTAATATATCCTAATGAATTATATATGCTGCTAGGCAATACCACGGCCACGTGAAGTAAAAACCACCTGTTTGGTCAGATTTCGTCTAACATCCAGCTGGTTGTTCCCATCCTAACCTGGAAGACGTGGGAGGGAGTGTATGGACCATCCTGTCTGGGTGTGTCTGGACATCTCTAAGTAGTCGTTTTCTTGGACACAAACCGGATGGTCCTGGTTTTCTTTCTACCTTCAGAGTAGATGGCACAGACCTCAAGAGATGTCCTTTACATGGAGGTTCATTATAAACCACCTCTTGGGGTCTGTGCCATCTACTCTCAATCCACTATACTTCTTAGTGCCTTCGACCTTCGCCTTCCACCTTCACCCGCCTGGCATAGTCTCGCGGCCACCAGGATCGTCGAGCCACCCAGCACCTGCAACGTTCGCTTCGATTCGTCGGTCGTTCCACGGTTTGGGGGGGACCAACAGTGGCGGTTCCAGGCGCAGGGTCTGGGGATGTCTGGGGGTCTTCTTGGATCTGCAGAAGGCAACGAAAGGAAACGATGTCAAGGATATGTCAAGAAACTGTCTATCTTCCCCCAAGAGTAGTATATTTCAAGGGACCGGTTCCTTTTTTCAAGTGCACTGGCCTTCAACAGAGCTGGAGCCGAGATCACCAACTCCTCGTTCCAAAACATCAGCAAGACACCCCCCAAATCCCCTGCGCACCAGCATGCTGGCGAGGACCATGAGATCGCTACCTGGAGGCCGGCGAATCCGATCGAGGCGCGAGTGCACCAGTCCCGGCCGGTGCGGTTGGTGGGGCGTGGTGCGAATCCAACGTGATGTGCACCAGTTAACCCAAACACTTCAGAATATATGTCATTATGAGCGGATCAGTTGGGGTGTTTTGGGGGTTGATTCATGTTAATTCTGCAAGGCTCCAAAGGATTTGGACACGTTGATATGCTGGCTGCCAATCTGCGGAGTTGCACTGGATTTGGATTCTTTTTCTGTCAAACGAAGTGTGACATGTGAGTTGTCCAACATTCGATCAGGATTCTCTTCTCCAGCTTCGTTTGAAGGTTCCTGACCTTCATTGTCGCTCGCTTCCTCCAGGCGACTCTCCAGGCTACAGTACTCGCCAGGGAACAGTTCTCGTAGATGGTGCTCAACGCTGTAGGTCCGAACAAGACTAGCAAGACGATGTTCCCGCTGACAAAGGTATCTTCCTGGCCGGTGCAACCGATGCGACCGGCTTCTAAAAAAGCCGGCAGCCTAAACTTGGGAGCAAGTGGTTGCGGACATTGTTGCCTCCATCATATATCGTTTATATCCGACACTATAAGCCTTTCATTTCTGGCCTCACAATGCATTCAAAAGTATGTTCATACCGATGACCCCGAGGTCTTCCTCGTTCGGAACCTCAGATTCCACCGGATGTCCTGCACGGTTTCGACTTGATCCCTTCTAACCACTGTGACGTTTAACATCATTTAACCATGTTCACCTTCCAGGAATTCCCCGATCTTCAGGGATCTTCAGGGATCTCCTTTTGGGAACGATCCGCAACATCTTTGTGATCTCAAAGGTCTAAAGATGTCTGAAGCTAAGCGAAGGCCTCTAATGGTTGGACCCTCCTGGTGGATTGTTTTGAGATCTCTTCATGAACACATGAGGTCTCACATGGCCTCCGGTGCTGGAAGTGGCACCATCCGGTGACCTAAAAGAAATAGTCCTTACTTCGGTGCCTTCGCCTCCTGCAATCGCCTTCACAAGTGAAATCAACTGCTCGACCATTAGAGGAGCAGCTCACCAACAGCTCACCAACCTCCCCAACAAGTGAAGCAGTTCCACTGGAGCCATGTGTTGGGTCACTCAGCAATGTCAACCCTGTGTGACCCAATGATGCACATGTCAACCCTGCCCACAGGCCCACACATCGACTGTCTTGTCGTTAATGCAGTTGAAACCTAATGTCACCAATGCTTTGAAGGGAGAATACGAAAACATGCAAGCCACTGATTCGATGATGATGGTGATGATGATGATGGATTAATATGGAATAATCCGATAATCCAAACCATGAAATCGGATGAGTTTGAGAAGGAAGCAAACGCCCTTTTTGGAAACCAAGCCTTGGGAAAGCAAACATCAGGTAAACACAGAATCGAACTTACACTTAGAAGGATCTCCATATGGACGTAGAAGGGTCTCTCCCTGTTCTCGCCAAAGGACCGCACGACCAGTCTTCGGTCGCATGCACTTCGCACGGAACCGTGGTCTTCCGTGGTCGTCGTACGCTCGATTCGTGCACTGTTTTTTGCATATAGTGGAATTGAGAGGACCAATGGCACAGACCCCAAGAGGTGGTTTATATGGACCCCCATCTTTTCAGGACATCATGGGGTCTATACGAAGGAAACCGCTGTACATCCGTTGATGAATCGACCAGCCCCGCCTCCAGTTGGCGCGCTCGTGCGCGCTTGGCGGAGGTCTCTCGCAAGACCCTGGGAGGGCCAAATGGGTGTCTGTCGATGGTTGGTCAGGGGGAAGGAAGGCTTGCCATCCCAACACTCCATGCCTGGACCATCCATGCCTGGGTGTCGGGTGTCCTGTCTGGACATCTCTTCAGATGTGTAGGAGTGGTGTTCGGATTCAGATGTGTAGGAGTGGTTCGGGTTGTCCTGGATTCGATGGTCCGATTGGTGGTCCTGGTGTATGTCAGATTTGTCGATCAGGACATGGATGATTTGCGGGGTCAATTTGTACAAACACTCCATACTCCAGGAGTGTCTGGGATGCTGAGCTGTGCTCGGTCCATGTGACACCCCACTGAATGAGTCGGCCTTCGCTGTCTTCCACGCATCTCTCCAGGGCATCACCCTCTATGGCCCCGCCCACGCGTCACCGCGTGCCGGTCCCGGTCACCTCGCGGGTGCGTGCCCGAGTCGGTGCCGCCTCTCGAGGTTCCGCAGCGGCTGCTGGAGCAGCTCTCCGAGCACCACCAGTGCGGCGCCTGGTTTCCGCCGACGCCGATGGGTTTGTGGAGAAGAACCGGGGCCTTGTCGGTGGAGGCCGTGGAGCTGGGGGGTGCGAACCAGAAAAAGAGGCATTTGGATGGAGCAAGGATGAGCATGCGGGATCATCTTATCTGGGTGGTGTGCTCACTCTGGGGATCTTCTCTTGCCCTAAACTTATGAACAACTGCAAGTCAGTTTGCAAAATATATTCCACACATCACATGTACATACTATACATCCTAGATCCTCCTGCTGCTTCTCATGAAAGCTGTTGTTAGCAATACCTCGGATCACAACTGAGACTCAGTCAATTAAGTTCTCCGTTGTGTATGCTCTTTCAAGTGCCCTAAATCCCATCTCTGACTCCGTCGTTTTCTGCGTGGCGCTCGCCAGCGACGCTTCGACTAAGGCTGGGAACTCTTTGGATCCGTCAAAAGTGGCCTCAAGAGATGCTAGAAGGCCGGGCAATTGAAGTTCAGGCTTGACGAGAGGTTGTTACTCTGCACAGGAACCGTTTGCATCACTAAGACATTGCTCAACCACCACGGAATCAGTGCAAGCCAATTGCTCCAGGCAGCAACGGTTTGATTCTCCACCCAGGCCTTGTGCTGGCTGAAGCATGTCCCCGCCGCTATTGGAGTATTGGGATCCGTGGGCGGGATGCAGCTCCCTGACACACAGCTGATCGCTGACGCAGAGAAGGCCCAAGAGCAGCTCGTCCAAGTGTCTTTGAAATCGCCGCTCCACAAGGCGCACAGACCGGGCTCAAGCCCTCCACATTGTGCATAGCTGGTTTTGAGGGTTTGTGAGAAAGTGGCCATCCGAGCCTTGAAGGCTTGAGTGGCAGCTTGATACACACTCTGGGCGTAGCATGTGGTGATGGTCTGGAAGACGTATTTGTCACCTGCCGTTCGGTAAGTGGGATAGCTCAGCAAGTTGTTCATCACACCCACGTGCAATGTCGCAAAGCGAGCTAAATAGGCGCCGGCCGTGGTGTTGATGGCATAGCCAGTCATGAACAAATTGATGTCACCGATCATGGCATTGTGGACGGCACCCAGGTCGGTATACCTCAATCGACGCCACGTGGTGTGGCGTGGCATCATGCAATCATGCACCCAAAGCGACCTCGCACCATTCAAATCCCAACATGAGGTTTAACCAGCAGTCACAAAGGGGTGGTGTTTGGTCCCTAAGTGAGTGGATAATGGGCACTCCGAACCTCCATTAAGCACCCCTTTGTGACTGCTGGAAGATGGTTTAAGCTAGCATGTTTAAGCTAACTCCAAAACTCACTGACTCCGAATTCGGATCTGGGTGACCGTCGACCCCTCCAACAGTTCCGCTTGGAGGCTGAAATCAAAACCTGAGTGTTGCTGAGGCGCATCCGGTCTCTGGTGATGTTCGACATCGATTGCACGGTTCCATTGGGATAATGTGCTGAGTTTTTGTAAGCCGTGGCATTCAATGTCCACAACCTCAACTGGTAGCCCTGGATGGTCTTGGTCCACAAGCTTTCAAAAGCTTTATCAATCTGTTGAGCCACAAAGCTTTGCACAAAAGGCATGATTTGTTGCCACACACACTTGCCCCAGTCTGATGTGGCATAGGTGCAGGGATTGCTTGGAAGGCCCCCAGCACTTGGGAAGAAGTTGTTCAAGATATTGCCAATGAGCCCAAACGCAATAGATCCCTTAAGAGCAATGATCCCCGCACTCTTCAAGACCTCTTTCAGGGTATCGACAGCGGTCCTTGCCACTGTTTTCTCCCCCTGATTGGCATACTTCACGCCGGGATTTTGTTGTTCATAGGTCACTACGTCTATGGCGCATTGTTGCGCTGCAGGGCAAGTAAAGCTCCCTTCCTCGCGATCCTGTCGCTGCCTCGAAGCCCCGTCCTCGTGCTTGTCCTGCTGCTTGTCCGTTTGTAGGAGGACGGTGGTCGGCTCCGTCGGTGCAGCACCTTGACAAACCTGTTGCAGCTGGACCTGGATGTCCTTCAGCTGCTGATATGACGAAACCGGCCAATCTACTTCTATCTGTGTGGCCATGCTACAAGCAAGTTGTTGTGCTTGGCAACCTACATCACTGGCACCACAGGTAGACTGCGACTGCGAGTCCCTTGAAAACTGTAGCCAACTTGTCGCATCCTCATGCCGTTCGGCGACAGCGGCCCAAACACACCAGCTTAAAACTGCCACGTGCCGGGCCCGCGCACACATGGCAGGGCAGGGGCGCAGTGAGCGGGCACGCCCAAAAGCAACCAGCTCTATTGAACTCTGGGCCTCAGCGATTAAGGTGGGAAGTGCTACAAAGCCTCCCAAGTAACCGTATGCGAAACACTGTCCGATATTTGACTAATCTTGATTTATACTTCATGCATCTTCATCTAGAATTCTACTACATTCTGTTTCCCCCCCCGAGATGACCACCTCCCCCACTAGCCATGCCGCCCGTGCACCCGTCTCTCCTCCTCCCGGGCCGTGTGCGCGCCGGTGCACTGCGCCCGCGCGCGTCGCGGCGTCGCCGGCGCCTGCAGCGGTGCCCAGCGTCAAGGCGGCGACGAGCCCGAAGCACCCGCCCTCCGTGCCGACCTCGGTCCGTCGTGGGCGCAGGGGCGGGCGGGCGGGTGGGCGTCGAGCTCGAGCGCCAAGTGACCTGACCCAAAAACCTCAACAAAAAGAAACACGTTAACATTTCACACGGATTCACACGGTACATTTCATATCAGGTCACGGTCTTTTCTTTCACCGTGTCATACCGTGCACCTGGATCCAATCGTCATCCAACCGGACCGCTGTGTTTTGGTGTATTTGGGGTGTATTTTGGGAGGGAACGTTTGACGCTTCAATGGAGATGAGATATGTCTCGTGTGATGTTTCCATGTTTCGCACTCTTCCAGTGTTTCGCACCCCCCTTGACTCAAGGGAAACAGCAAGAACTGGCAACAAGAAACCTGGTGAATGAAACCTGGGCACCATATGACATCTCCCATTTCAGACATGTCGAAATCGAACACATGCGAAACATGCGAACAAGCTACCATCCCCGATCTCCCTGGCCATCAAGCGAGCTGAAGCTCAGGTCTCCGGACATAGGTAGACCAAACCACCAAGAGCCAAATGGACACTTCGCAGAAACTTCTCAAGGTGTCCAGCCTCGGGGCCGTGGGGCCCCCGGTTTGCACCAAAGGGAAGGCCATCTAAGACGTGGGACACAACACCTATAGCAGTTTTTCATACACCAAGGAAAAGTATGGAAAAGTAACTAGAAACAGGATGAAGCTGTTCTTTGGACTCGCAGTTTGCTTGTTTTCACAGAGCAAGTATAAGACCTGACTCAGGGTGGAAAGAGTCTTCCACGCGCCGACCATGCAGGCTGCACACCGTGCTAAGGAACATGTGGCGTACAAATTGAAAGTGTTTGGCCATGTTTGGCCTTAAGATGCCTTAAGTGATGCTTCGTTCAACTATCTCCAACTGCCGCTACAAACAGGCATCCAATATTAGTGTAGTATTGTGCATAACTAGTAATTATGCATGATTCTGGGTCTATTGCTATACAAAAACATACTACAGAAGCCTATACACATGGTGTATGCGGCCTTGGACCTCCCTCTGAGCTCCTGGCTCCCAGTTTTGCCGCGCGTTCAGCACGCGTGCCACCAACATCTTTCCTCCGAGGCGACCACGATCGTCGTCACGGAATGGACCATTCTGGGACCCAACGAGTCCATTTTCTCGAAAGGTGCACTCTGACTGACATAGAAGTGGAAAACCTCCGGTTTGTTTCCAGCAAAGTCGTCTTCCTAAGAGACCACACATTCACGCATTCACAAGTCCATGTTCCGCTTTCACGGCTCAGCATGGACATGAGAAGTGACGATCTTCTGGCTTGAATTTCATCAACGCTATAAGAATCCACCTTGGGCTCTCCATGGCAGGGGTCCATGTTCCAAACCAAATCAAGCGTGTGTTGAGTCCATTGTCCGCCTGAGAAAGAAAGCGGATCTCCGACTGATTTATCCGACGGGTACCAGCTGTGTTTTTGGGACCAGGTCGATCGTAAGTTGGAGCCACACTCTGGGGCTCCGTGCCAAGTCGGTTGGTGAGGGGAGTTTTCTGAAGCAAAGGTCCACAAACCACCTGAGTCACAAAAAAGTGTCGATATGATTCATGGACCGTGACTTTTGATGGTTTTTTGCGCAACACAAAACACCCATGCCCTGAGGTTCAACAATGTTCAACATCTGAATCTGAAAGTCACCTACCCTACTCACTTTGAAAGAGATGAGCACATGAGATGAGAAACCTCCGCACCTCAATGCTGCAGTGGAAGCGATTCTTGGGGTTCACTTCACCGGAGAAGCCTTTTTGATGGCGCGCCAACCGCCCCATCGAACCCGCCTCTCCATGGCGGAAGAACCCCCCGGTTTAGGAGGTCGAATCGGTCAAAAGGACCGCTGTGAAGGAATGGCTGGGATCAACCAAATAGTCTGTCGACATAGCCATTCCTTCCGTAACCGGGATCAATCTACTTCGTCAGTATAAGCTGAAGTCTAATCCTCAGTGCCTAGGAATGGCGACCGATCTGTTTCGGGATAGAGGTGAAGAGCGACCGGTCGTCCCGACCCATCGTCCCGGGCGTCGACACCGGAGCTGACTTCGCCTGGTCCTATACGGGCGGAGAGCCCCCGCCTTGTGGCCCCACACATGACCTGACACAGCGCCACCATGTCACCCGCCAAACGTGTGGCCCGAAGCCCGGGGGGCCCGGGCATAGCTCAAGGACGCCAGGGCCGCGAGCGTCAACGCGGTCTTGCGCGAAATGGAGATGCAGCCTCGGTCGGGCTCGGCACCGGTGTCCGGTTCCGGTCACCGGACATTCGTGGCTCCCAAAAGCAGAGCCTGGAGGTTCATGGCTGATTAGCCTTCCAGCACCACCCAAAGGGTGGGTTATTAGATGGAAAAAACATCTTCATGGGGGTCTTTAAACCACCCGAATTGGGTGGTGCTGGTTGATAACTCTTGATAGATTATACACCCGGCCTGGGCCACAAGAGAAGTACATGGCGTTGAAAAAACCACATGAGGAGTTTTTGCTGATCAAGAGTCAAGAGTCTAGAAGATAGAAAGTTGAACACATGGGAGCCTCTTTTCGGGTCAGACTCGATCATGGAAGTGGATTTCAGAATCAGCTGAAAGACACACCAACCTGGCGGACTATCCATGCTATCCATGCTTCTATAGCTCATGAAAGCTCTAGTCTATGGCTTCATTTGGGTTCCAGGAGTTCTCAGCATCTGGGTCCAAGAACGAGGTGCCATAAGAGGTCCGAACAGATTTGAAAGGACTTGATGACTTGACTAATTATCAGGATCTCTCTGACAGAAAACAACATCGACACTGTATGGTACTAGTAGCGGGAAAAAACAACAACACTGAAATGATCCTTCGGCTCAAAGAAAAGAAAGTCGGTTGGCACCTTTCAAGAGCACATGACCATAGATTTTGCTCAGGGGATGAAGCAACAATTCAATCACATCGCACCCCTAAAAGCATGTTCATGGTCCTATAACCCTCTAGACCTAAAATTAAGCAACTTGCCAACATTCATTTGTCATTATAACACTTAAAACCCAACTTCGTAATTACTCGTATGAAAACTGGCAACGGCGAGACACAGCGCGCACCTTTTGCGTGTCAGGCTTGAGCCGCATAGTGGCGTGGTCTGAGATCCGGACAGCGGCCATGGGGAAAAACCGCTAGAGACATGAAAGGTGACATGTCTGCACATGTATGCAACCACAGTTTCACACCCGTAATCTTTTTACGGATGGAAGACCACAGCTAAGCGCCCAGTCATCATCATCTCATCCAGTTGAGGCGCTTTCATGGCTTTTGTAAGCCCATCAGCAACCATTGTCGCGGTTGCGATCCACTTCACCTTGGTGGGGCCGCTCTCAGGAATTCCTTCGGCATAGGTCGGATTGCCGATGGATTCACCTTGAGCTCTCCAAACCTCTTGCCTTAGACCGGTCAGGTCAATGGCGAGGCGTTTGTCAGCCACTTCACCGCCTCCAGCGGTGCAAAGATGATCTGACAGACTCCTGCAATCTGTCAGCCACAAACACTTCGTGGCGTCGACGGCCAAGATGGCGTCCTTCTTGGAGTTGCCCTCACTCAGGTTCTTCACTGCGAACATCACATGCCGCAAATGCTCGGCCTCCTCTCTGCCAAGCTGAAGCGACATTGTTTCGGCTTGAAGGGTGGATCGGCAGACCCTTTTGATGGTGTTGCTGTGCCACTCGAGGGGGTAGACAACCCCATTGCCAGTCTTCTCAAACTCTGCATCGGTCAGGAGGAGGACGCGGCCAGATTGGCTGCGATGCCTGGAGGGGTTTCCATTGACATCCTCAATGCTCTGACCGAATGAGGCGTCGGTCACACTGACAATGATGGCCTCTTCCAGCTTCATCGCCTTGCGGGCATAGAAAATCCCTTTGTCACGGTCTTGCATGGCGAAGTTCAGAAGCTTGTTGGCCTCGATGAGGTGGCGAACTTGTGCACGTTGTTGCACTGCTTGAAGTTGGTTGACTCGGAAGCAAATGTCGGGGCGGCAGATGCGTCCCAGCCAGCTCAGTGATCCGATCACGGATCGAAGTTGTGAGATCTCTGAAGGCTTCGCTGGCGCTGACAACTGCTTTCTCCTCTGTGGCTCAACGTAGATGGCCTTGGTGCGATCCAGCACACTGGGACATGTCACTCGGATGCCATCGGTGGACTGCTTGATGATGCGGCCACAGTACTTCATCTCATCATTTTCAACCAACCCAAACTTGAACTCCTTTTGCACTTCCAGCATAACTGCCTGCATGTCTTCGAGACCGCACCATAGAAGGTCGTCAACATGACATCCCAGGAGCCCACTGATCGTGCCTCGAGGTCCAGGAAGGTAGTAGGCGGCTGTCTCGTAGGGCACAGGTGCAAGTCCCTTGGACAGCAGGACATCGTGCAAAGCTTTCCAGAAGCCGCGGGGAGCATCCCGCGTGCCATAGACACTCTTCCGTGCCACCAGCAAACTGCCAGGTTGCACTGCCGGATCTGGGATTCCACCCTTTGGGAGGGTGATGGCGAGCAGTCGAGTGATCCATGCTCCTTGTAGGAAGGCTGCACTGATATCTCCAGCACGTAGTGGTTCACCAAGTGCTGCAGCCCAACAA